GCTTCTGGCGTCCCAACTGGGCACTTGTGAAAATGTTACCCATAACAGCATTTTTGCTGATGTAATCCCTTCCTGACTTTTTTTTTTTTTTTTGTACTGTGGGCCCTTCAAACTTCAAGCAAAATATACAGGTTACTTTTCCTTCCTTTTACTGGGATCTACAGTGGGTAAGTTCTAAGAGTTCACAGCAGGACACAGAAAGAGAAATGGTAACTTTAATTTGCTAAGAAACTCTACATTTTATTTCTAAATGTGAAAGTGGCCTAAATGATGATTCTTAGCTTTAGTATAAAAGGTATTTTAAAACTTACCCACAAAAATACTCTGTCTCCCTTCCCTAAAGTAGTCTCTTTCTCCCTTATGTCTTTCTAGCTGCATGGAAGTTATGTGTATTAGAGCAAAGGTACCACATACTTCTGGACTGAAAAATTAATGTGGTCCCGCTCTTACACATGAATTGCCAGGAATGGGATCAGAAAGAAATACTAAGGTGAAGTCTAGGTATAAGAGCACCAACAATAAATATTCCTCAGCTTTTTTGGGACCCAGACATAAGATTAAATGTCCCTATAACTCTTGGCCTAATATTTCAGCCAAACCTATAGCAGTGTCATAGGCTTACAAGCTTCCTTTTTAGCTTCAATTCTTTTTCACCACTCCTTAGACTTTGAGACTCTAAAACAGCCTTGTTCCTGCCAGCAACATTCTCCCATCATGCAGATTATGGATTCATGCACTTTCTTTATTTTAATGTGACTTTTTGTATCCAATATAATCTTCTGACAATCCTGAACACTTGCTGTAAAGAAGAAAAGATATTTTCCAAAGTCTCTGTTCAATTATTAGTGTCATCTGTAATGAACTATTCTAGTTTAATTGCAGAATTTGTATCTTTTGTACTATGGACAAAATAAAACCCAATAGAAGATTAATTTAATAGGAAAACTAATGTTCATAGCAATTATTTCAAAGCTGAGGGTGTTTTTTCAATTTGCTCCATCTGATGAGGTGATTCTTTTGAGAAGACCATTAGACTCATAAACCTGAGGCACAGAGAGTTTAACACAGAACACACATGAACACTCACACATTCATAAATAAATGACACACCTCTGAATTACAACATAGCAAATAAATGCATATCACAGGAAAATGTTTGAGGGACAGTATTATATGTTCAGCCATGGGTGGATCAGTGTTTATATCATGTGATTTGGTAAAATCAAAGTGGTGTCTGTCTTGGTGGTGGTACAATTTACATTTACATTTAGGGCAGCAGTGAGAAGAAGCTAAAACAGCTGTATTCTCTTTGACTGTACTGTGTTTGTCCTTCACCTTCAAGTGAAAAAGGCATCATTTATGCTACTTTTTTTTTCTTTCCTCAAATGTAATTGCCACATTTGGGGACTAAATTTATTGTGACTTTAGCCTTATTTTTCAACACTAGTCGATTCAAGTCTCCTATGGCTTCGACAGTAGCTGTAGCAAATTTTAGCTTTTAGAGAACAAGAGGGTGGGGCACACAATGCCAGTGCCAAATCCCATATTGTCCCACGTTGCCGATGTGCTTGGTATATAGTCTAGGTAATATTCTACTTCACTAACACTCATTATCCAGTCCTCTCCAAATAGCAAACCATTAAGACTCAAGAACATACTAAACTGAGCACAGAGAAAGGCTTTTGAAAACAGTGTCTTAACTCTTCAGTGCACCTTTTGTTTGTGAAATGGCCATAACCCTTGCATCATATTATCTAATTTTATGCCTCTCTCTACAATAGTCTATCAGACCCAGGGATGACAAGGCCTATAAAACTATATCATTACCCATTTTTCCTGTTAATGGATCGATGTTTCTTCTGTTTGTTTCCCATCAGGAACTCCACTGTACAATGTCATGGATAATACATTTCTGTAGCATGTAGCCAAGCAGCTCTCTTTGACTGGATGAGTCTCAGTTTGGAAGGAACAGCTTGCCAGAAACCACTAAAACCTTCCATACAAACAACCAGAAATTAAGGCTCTGCAGGGGAGCATGTCACCGCCTTACATCAAGGAAATAAGAAGCAGAGTTATGGCAGCCCAAGAACCAGCGACCTTTTATCACAATTTAGTCAGCTGTTCCTCACAGCAGCTTTCCTACGTTTCCTATTCTTTAGCTTCCATCCAGTAAAAGGGCTCCCACGGCTGAGGTACAAGGTTCATGATGCTCACATCCTGTTAGCACTGTATCACAAACCTTCGGAAGCACCACCAAACATCTTATTCTTCCACTACCACCAAGACAGTAATGGTGTCATTCGCACATGCATCACCAGCTAAGGTTAAGTGTTATATCTGTTTAATATCTCATGCGTTTTCTATCTAGGACTCTCCTCTGGTGTTGGGGGATGAACTAAGTACTCACTTGTATTTCCAGTGTGTGTAAATTAGCATTTACATTATATAATTCCCCATCTGCACACATATTAAAGTGATATGTATTTCAAAGTCGCTCGTCCAGGACATGTATTGATTCACACCACACAAAGTCGTCACCTGTCAGGGCAAAGGATTTGATTTACACATGACCCCATGATGCACAGGGAGAGGTCAAGCTGCTATGAGTTATGATCCTACCTGAAACATCGGCAGATCTGTAGGAATGGTGCTGACCACTTCCTATGAGCCCTGTGCCCACAGCCTGTTGCCAGGGAGAAGTGCAGTCAAGGTCACAGCAACACATCCCTTTCAGGGCAATTCTTGCCATTGCCTTGAGGGAAATGTCTTTCTGCTCCTCCATCTAAGCAGTCTACCCCTTTCTGTAAGATGAGAAATTTCCTGAACTTTGCCTTTCCAACACTGCAACACAAGTTGCTGTATAGGTCAGTCAACACATGTCCCCCTCCAAGCCGAGAGGCTTAATAGTCCTCTCTTGACATCTTCTTTAATAAGCAGCCTGACAGGTTATGTGGCTTCCAGTCATTTTATTGCTAGAAGCTGGATGAAACCTAGTGTATGATGGTGGGCGTAACACTTCATCCTTTCATTCAGAATAAATTCAGAGAAGCCATTAAGGTTCTTTATGAAGCCAGATGTTTGAAACAATAATGGTCTCCACCCCAAACATAACTACGTGCCATCTCCCAAAACAAAGACACATGTGGACAGAGAGGTTTAACAGGCAATTATGTTGTGAGGGTTTGTGCGTGACAGAAACAGCAAGACTAGAAAAGCTGGGCGGAAAGACAAAAAAAAGACCTCGTCACTGTTCTGACAAAAGGGGAAAGAATAAGCATCTGGAAGAGCAGGAGCTAGGGCAGGGAGACCTGACCCTCTGCGTAAAGAGATTATCTTCTACCAGATCCCCCGCAGGTTCAAGAGAGCAGTTCCTTGTGCATTCTTTGTCATAATACAAGATTTCATCCAGACCACCTGATCTCTTCTAACAAAAAAGCAGCAGTACCCTGAACTTTGGCTAACTTCTCAGGTCAAATATGTGTAACACCTAACCTAAAGGACTTTTAGTGTCTGTGCTCACACACATCATCTAATGAGAGAATAAAACTCAGATTGTATTTTGGGGGTAGGGTTTTTTTAACCGCTACACAAGCTGTGCAAACTTCCACTTTCTACCCAGCACTGAATACATAGTTCAGTGGAAAATTACCTGGCCCTGGAGGACACTGATGTCCAACATGGAAACTTTCAAAGTGTTTGGTGATACTGGTTAACTTGCAGCCACAGCAGCATTTTGCATTTGCTTCCACAAAAACAGTACACACCTAATGGTTCCTCTGCTGTAATGGCCATATTCCCTAGCCAGTAATAAGCACAGGGTTACCATTTATTTAACAGATATCCATAATGGTCACATACAAGATTTTAAGGGGAAAATGTGAAGGAAAGGGGAAAAATGGGAACTGCCATTCTGCAACCATATGCTTCACACTCTTCATAAATTTATCGCTCTAATTTGCAGTACTTTTTTTAGCCATTGGATAGATGGACTGGAATTCAAAGTCTTCATATCACTGGCTTTATTCTTCCTTTTCTTACAGCTTGACTGAGTGCAGTCTTAAGAAAGCAATGCTTTGGACCGCTTGTACTGGTAAACAAAACGGAGAGCACATCCCAGCTTTTAAATGAACCATGTACATCAGCTGTTGACCACGCTTCCCTCTGTCTCACTGTACTAGAGCAGTCAGCTTGCAAAACAGCTCATCTTCGGCTGCCCCAAAGCATCATGTCTTTCCCAGCCCCTCTCTTATACCAGTGCCTCCTTCCCATCATGCTTTGCCTCTCTGCATCCCCTCCACTTTCTCCAAAGAGCTCTCAGGAAGAGACAGAAGACTGCTATTCTCCACTGATCGTGTCAGCAGTGTTCTCAGTCTCCAACTCCACTCAGCAATAAACCTATAACTCTTTGCTGTTTTCCTGAGCCCTTAACTAAAGGCTCTCCTTCCCAAACACTGTTCCCTCCTGCACCCTGCAGTTGTCTGTGTGCTTCTCCTCATTCCGCGCACTGGCTGTCTTCCCCAGCTTCCCCAGCTGCAGCGGGTTAAAAAGGAAGTATAGGATGTTGCCTGCAATTGATTTTAATTCTTTCCCTCTTGCTGCCCCTGCAGGCACGAGTTGGCCAGCCCAGCTGTGGCACTGAGTGCAGCCAGCTCTCCCTCACGCACAGCCTTCTCTCAACAAGCTGTGACTGATCGTAGAGGGACAAATGCACACACACAGTCCTATTCATTTCTTTGCATGCTCTGGAGTTTTCTTACAGTATGAGGCCTACCAGAAGAAAACATCTGCTTTGTTTGTTTTTTAAGGTTATAGCTTCCTCCACAGACCTGGAAACGCAAACATGACAGTGATGGGCCTACTGCGGGAGAAGGAGAGAGGGGCTCCAAACTGAAATTGCTCACTGAGAGCAGCTGAAGTGTTCAAGTAAAATTAAAATACAGAAGGCTTCATAAAACAAAAAACAGTGGGGAAGCTAATGAACTTTTAAATACTCTTTTTTTTTAATAAGGTCCTAATGTGCTGTTTTAAGGAGGTGAGTGAGAGGAAGAAATGTGAAATTTTCCTTTCCACCACAATCTTTCTAGAAGAGTCGAAATGATGCAAAGTGTCTTTGGCTTGGACAGGCACCTCAGCTTTCTTCTCTCCTTATGCATAATATTCCACAAATCCTCTTGCTTAAGAAGTCATCTAATGGGTGAGAAAGCCATAGTGTTAGACCATAACTGGTAGAATGCCTGGCATGATTACCTGCAAGATTAGTCTCAGTCACCCTGTTTACCATCAGAGCCCCTCATTTTGTGATATCCCCCCTTCTCCATGCCTTAAAGTTCTTGAAGACCCTTTCACCCACCATTAGCTCCCTGCAAGGCCCAGCATGAGGGGACAAATGGCAAGTTATGCACCACATCTTAAAGGAGTGAGCTATAGTGACACAACAAAATGTCATGGCACTCACCAGATCAGGATGCTTAAAGCCCCATCCAGCCTAGCCTTGAGCACTTCAAGGGACAATGTATCCTCAACTTCTCTGGGCAACCTGTTCCAGTGCCTCACCACCTCCATAGTAAAGAGCTTCTTCCTAATATCTAATCTAAATCTACCCTCTTTCAGTTTAAAGCCATTCCCCCTTGTCATATCATTACATGCCCTTGTAAAAAGAATCTCACTATCTCTCTTGTAGCCCCAGAAGATGAACTTCTGCTCTATTCCAGAGTGAGTGTAACTGTAGAGCCCTGGAGGACCTGTCAGTCCAGGACTAGCTTATAAGAAAGCAAGAATGAGGAAAGGTGGTCAGAAAATGGGTCCTGCAGTCCTTCGTGATGCCAGGACTAAGATGAATGAACAGCAGGACAAAGCCTGCACAAAAACCCCATGTCCAAGCAGCCATCAAAAAGCTGTGGACAGATGGATGGATGTCCAGAACACCCTACATATCCTAAAACCTGATGCACAGAGCTAAAGGAAGTCAAGTGCCTGATGATCCTGAAGACATGAGGCCTGAGAAATGAGTGGAATAGCATAGAATTTGCTTTTCAAAACCCAAATTGACCACCAGTGGAGTGGTGCTGAACCTGGTTTGTGAAGATTGCAGTATCTGTAACTGCATGGGGTAATTCTCTAATGAAAGCCTGTGTTCTGTAGGAACTGATGGTCCTACCAGAAAATGTTGGTATGACAACCCATCATGTCCCAGACCAGTCCAATTTTTGGTCTTCTGGAAACAAATCAAGGTCATTGGTTAAGATTGGCTCTTACATTGACATCACACCTAGCTTTACAAGTTCCTAATTGTTCTTATTTATTATTGAAATACAGAGAGATCAAAGGAGATTATCGTGCTCAACATGGGGCACAATGGGGTATACACATCCTTTCAGTGCAAATGGTGACCTCTCCAAATAGTAAATATGAACAAGTAAATAATTTTGCTACTTCGTCTAGTGATCTCATCTTAAAAAGGGGATCTCATGGAGGGATCCTGCTGGACACTCACAGGTCACCATCATTAATGTGAGTCCAAAGACTCTCAAGAACCTTAAGAGCTTTAAAAAAAGGAAACAGATTTTAAGCCTTGTTATGTATCAACTGTAGTCATCTTGCTTTACTCCTTAGATCTTACTATTTGAGAGAGAAAATAAGAGACACTTTTGGGGGAGGGATGGCAGAAATAACAATTTGCAAATCTTCTTGCTGAAATGTATTTAAATCACAAATGCTGACATTTTACTGAAATTACACTTTTCCAGTAGACGGAATATAGAAGAAAGGAGGACTGACCCTTCCTGTCTTGGATGATAAATATTAAATCTACTTGAACCCTAGTAATTTACATAAATTAAAGCAACAAACAGAAAAGGGCTGGTTGAACCTAAAAGAACTGGAACATTTCTCAGTGCTCTGGGAGCCCTTTCTCATTTCAGTGTGGTCCAGCATCCTTGACTATATTTTCTAGCTTTCTAAAGATGAAATTCTAAAGTTATTCAGCATTTTGCTACAGTTGCAGAAGAATCTGGGAAAGAGGCAAGTGAAATTACAGGAGCAGAGACTGCCTTCTGTTATTACACTTAAATTCTACTCTCATTCACTCCAGTTTCAAAGAGCAGCATTTGTAGCTAAAAGGAAAACTCACTCCAGCACTTAAAACCATTTAGAAATAAACAGAAAAAAGCATTCTGGGGGAAATACACAGTCTTTATCAGAGGAGCAATTGGCATCCTTAACTCCAAACAGGGAAGACTGATAGCTGACCCCTCAGTAATGACTGCCTCAGTATGAATTAACTCTATTGCATGAAATTGAATTTCATGTTTACCACTTCATAAGAATGAAAAGAGAATGTGTCCTTATAGTATTTATCTATGAAGAAACTTCTCTGTGAAGAACCACACAACAAGATTATAATTCTAAGGCAAGAGACCCAGTGAAATGTGGAACAGTTGTTATTCCCACAGCAGTAACTTACCATGGGACATTTAAGAGGGTCAAGGTGTCCCTCAGGATTGGTCTCTGAATTAGGACACTTACCATCCTGACATCTTCTCCTGAATGGTTCCCAGGAGCATGGGAATATATAAGTTTGCTGGGGAGGCGGCCAGTATGGCAATACCAGTTTGGCGTCCTCGGTCGTGGACTGGAGGGACTGGAATAGCAGTCCATGGCTGGCAGGGTGAAGGAGTAACTGGTTATTCTGTCACAATCCAAACTCTTCATTATCATTCTACATTAACAGCTCTTGCCTTCTATGAACACCAATCTTATTTATGACACATCATACAGCCCCTGCAGTAAGCGAGGAACTCTGGCCCTCGATGTTTCAAGAAAAACTGCCTCGCACTGTATTTGCATGCAAAATGAATGAGGCGGGAGACCAGCTCCAGCAGCTCCCCAAAATAATATGCAACAATCTAATTAAACTTTATTGTAACTATACAAGCGAGGAAACAGAATTAAGGCTGGGTAGGCAAGCTCAATTTTGTCATTTCCTTAGCCTTTGAGTGTTTGCAATTTGATAGTCTTGTCATGTAGGGTTTCTAATAGAATTTTGTGCATTTTTAGAAAATAAATTAAACTATGAACTTCTACATGGTTCAGCTTCTGCTAGGCCAGCAAACCAGACCAAGGGAAATGCTTGTGCAACCAACTGGGCAAATTCACTGCTTTCTTCCATGCTGGCTTTTCTGTTGTCACTGTCTAGCAGAGGAACTCACCTTTCTTCATCAGTGCCTTGTTGGTCAAAGAGAGAGATTTCCTAAGCTAGAAATTGGAGCATAGCTTGGTACCTAGAGAGCAGAGTCTACATTCACAAGAAAACATCCTGTGACCACCAGCCAGTAACACTCAAAGGCACCAGAAGAGCCAAAATATAATGCAGAACCAAACACCAATCCATCCTGACATCTATGAGAACTGTTAAAATGACACAGCTGGAAGTGGTGTTTTTTAAAAGATCTTGGTTCCTGTACCTATCTCAGCTTACACTTTCCAATTAAAAAATTGCTTCTGGGCTTGATATCAAAGGCTTAAAATTGCAGCCAAAAACATAAGTAACTCAAAATAACCCCCTTAGAATGGAAACTCTTGTACATCCTCCATACTGCTATGCCTGGAGTACACTGCCAATAAGATGCTTAAAAAGAGGGAGAGAAACTCAGGGTGGGAGGGAAGCAAAGAGGAATTAGACCGAAAAGGAATGAAAGGGAATCCCATGAGGAGCCAGCAGAAAAGCTCCAGACATTCTGGCAGTTCTAAGAGTTTGTTCCAGGTGGCAAAATAGACACTCACTTGAGGGGGACTTTCAATGGAAAAGGACTGGTGACTTCAGGGCATGGGCCTTAGGAGACCTGCAGTAACTCTGAATCTCTGCTGTATAGTCTGCCACGGCATATGATTAGCTTCCTGTGCTGTAGAGCATTGTAAAGCACTTTATAAAGCAATGAATTACACAGCTGAAGTGGAGTAACCACATGCAAGCAAATACGACAACCATTATGCTCTCAGCAACATCCCACACACAGCCACGAACATTTGCATTAGTGCCAATTAATCTGAGGTGGTACAAACTCAGCCAGGCATAGGGTTTGTTCTTTGGTGTGAAGGAGGAAGGGAGGGGAGAAAAATATCCTTTTGTCTTCAGAGAGGAAACATCTGTAGGAGTTTTCAAGGGCTCCGGTGACTTTGTTGAGCATGGAGCGGGGGAGCGTGCTATTGAGTGCTTTGATCTCACCAGCAGGTGACACTGCAGCAAGTGGGAGCAGCTATAAAAAGTTTGAAGCATTCTAGGGACAACTCGCACAACCAGCGCACAAATGTGTTTAACGTGTGTGACTCACAGTTGCCGAGAGGTGGGAACATGCAGCACTGAGCTTTTGGTTTCAGCTCGTCGTTGTGTATTAATGTCTTCCTTTTCCCCTCGCTGCTCCCCACCACTGCTTTCAAACACCAGGGTGAAGCAGTCAGGAAGGGCGATGAATCTCTTAACCCTGCTGCATGTGGAAATGCATATGACTAAAGCACAGCCAGGGAAAACTGTTCCAACAGCCCTACCTCTCGCTGAAGTCAGCAGGAAAGCCATATCCTTTAACGTCAGTGCCTGACAGAGGAGCCTACCAAGCACTAAAGGGGTGTTGTGTTTTTCCAGCTCCACATTTCAACCAGCCATTCTGCATGAGAAAATGATGATGGTATTTGTGAAACACGAGTTTTCCCGTGATGTATTCTTTTAATCCTACGGTTAACATAAAAGAAAGCAGATTAAATACTTGAGAATTAATAACAGATTTACCTCTCATACTTCTCTGTTCTGATTGCAACTGCCAAGGAGGACTGACCCTACATAACCCTGGGCTCAAGGGGCCTCACAGGGGCTCAAGAAGATCAACCTACTCCTACATGATGATCCAATACCATAACAAAAAATATTCCTGCAGCTGGACATCCTACGCATAAAAATTCTCAAGTTCTAACTTACTGAGCAAGGCTTGCACTGCATATTCTGATGAGGCCCATGGCTACTGTATCCCGCTAAAGGGCAGAGTGAAGGTTGTCTTTTTCACTCAGCAGTTCCTCAGGTGCAAAGGGAATATAGTCAAAGCTGCCAAGTTTTGTTCAGCTCCCTGTGTGATATATTGATTTTGCAAATGGGTGAACTGATTTACCACTTTCTAGACTATTTGCACAAAGCCTTCTATCATATTTCCCAGTCAAGACATCCTGCTTCAAACTGCAGCAAGAATTTGTTCCCAAATACTTGCTGCTGTGCATAGGGGAAGCCAGGAGTCCTTCTGAGAGAGTCTTCAGAGAGTCTGAACACTATTTGCAAGAGATGATGGGATGCTGCAGGGCACTGGCAGGCATAGGCGGGTACCCACGTAGAGTTTAATGCCAGAAGCATTTGTAACAGCTTGCACTCTCAGTTCTGCCAAAGCATGGCTGCTCTACTCCAGGTGTGTTTGGTACAAAGAGAGTGGGTACCTGGCGCTGGCACAGTGCAGCCAAAGTGAATATCTGTTGTCAGCTTGATGTGCATGTGAACGTGATAAAAATCAGCTGGAACATGTCAGCCAATGACAAAGGTGCCAAAATCAGGGTGCTGGGCAAGAAGCACAGTCACAGGCAATTCCAAAAAGCTCCACAAAAGGTTGACAGAAACGCAAGAATTCAAGGCTCAAAAAGCGTTTCTAAGTGCTTCTACTTCAGCCAGCAAAACAAGGGATCTGAATAGTTCTTCCATAATATTTTACACATCTTTGAGAATGGGGGGGATTTTTTTATTATTATCTGAACTAGAATGCTGTAGAGCATCAGAAGGATGCCCTCCTTGGAGAGACGAAAGCAGTTTTAAATCTAATCACTTAAACAGGATACATTTGCAGCACTACACCCCCTCCTGCAAGTCCTACGGTTTTACTGTCCACTGCAAGTGCCTATGGTTTTACAACTGCACCTTCCCATTGATGCAGAGTTACACAGTCAGGCCAAAATGACAAGGATGAAGAAACTCAGAAGTAACTTTGCAAGGAAAGCAAACATGCAGCATAATCCAGTTGAGAACCCATTTATTTTGACTAGGAGCCCTTGGAGACATTGTTTGTGATGACCATATGTAAAAGACCATGTCTAAAGTGTGATTCTACAGAAGGTGTTTCCTCACTGACTGCAAGATACACTGATGGACTTCAGACTCTATCTTCCACTGCTCAAATGTATCTTTCAATTTCTCATACGTGCACTGAAGTAGACAGGTGAGGTTATAGATGTGCCTGATATGTTACTTTATGTCCATTAAACTATCAGCATTACAAAACTCCAGTGGAGATTGCCTGTGGACCTTTCAAGACTCAGAGAGAGAAAGAAAAGGGCAAACTGCAAAAGGGCCAAGTACTTTATCTCTTCATCACTCCCACTTCCTACATGAAAGATTCACTGGCAAAATTTGCTCCTAAATTGAGGGTTTTTTGGAACAACACTCCTTAGTCACATAAGCAACACTTTATTTTTCCAAGTGTAGTTATTTAATTTCTTCACATTTGAATTTTCATGTCACTTCTCTTCCTCTCTGTAGTTTTTGCTTTTTTAAACAGTGTGAACACATTCTGTAATTATTGCTGACAGCCCAATGTTTAATGGTGTTGAGTGTCTTTTATGGCACAGTCAGACATTTGTTTGGGAGACAGCTGTCTCTGCTTAAAAAGTTGCTGCCCCTTAACTCTTTATCTCTGCCCCCATGACTCAGACGTGGCAGCTGTCCGTACCTGCAAACAGTTGAACCGAAGCCTGTTTCTCTCCACGCTGCAACAGTTTGGAAGAGCCCATGGATTCGGTTACTGCACCTCGGCAAAGGGGAGCAGGAGCAAATAGCTGATCAAGCAATAACTTGTTAAACCACCACAGCTGTTTCTCAAGCAAACATCCGACTGTGCCGTTGGAGCCAGCGTGGCGCATGTGGTACTGGAAAGGAAGAGGTTTCCAAAGCTGGGAGATGCTGTGGGAACCGTCCCACATTCCTCCCCTGCCCCAGCTGAAAGCCAACTGCTGTGCTGTGACCGCGACTGCTCTACAGGCTCACCCACTCTGTCTCCCAGCCTCCTCCTGGCTCTCCGTCTTTTTTCCCTGCAAGTGCCAGAAGTACCATCGCATACTCAAGGCACGGCTGAACTTTTCTAGCCGCTTTTATCTGCTGTTTCGCATGAACACGGTTGATATGGCATGCTTCCCAGCTGTTTTCATAGAAGACTGGCCCAGGCAAGCACAGCTTTAGTTAGATATACTGGGTGTGACTGATTACTTGGTACACAAGTCAGGAGGTGATTTGATTGGCGCCAGTCCCAAGTAATGTGAAGTAACACAAAACTCATCTATCACCATGCGGTACTTACCAGGTGAACCTTCATGAAGAGAACTTGCCTGACCTGATAATACAGTATTACCCCCAATAATTATGTGATTTAATACTAGTGCCGATTACCCACCAGGGAAGGGATGGGGGGGAGAGCAATTGCAGCCATCTGTGTTTGTTTGCCTGAATGTTCCCATAAAAATGTTCTCTGCATACACTCTACTCACAAGCGGCAGTCTTGAAAGGGTGTCAGGACACCGTTCTGTGGGGCAGTGCTGTGCCACTACGTGTGTTGTCAAACTACACTGTTGACACTGCCAAACTGTTACATCTTGAGATTCTTGAACTATAAGAAGAGATGTGGAGTGTGTGAGAAACACAGACCCCTCCTTTACTGAGCAGAAAAAAAACTAATCCCTTGCCGCAGTCTTTTATATTGCTACAAAAGCAACTAATACATTTTTATGTTATCTGTTCCCTTGCTCTGCACTTCAGTGAAGTTAGTCTAGAGCAATTAGTGACTTTTCTGCACTGTCTGAAAGAGCAGGCACTTTCTAGTCCTCTTTTAGCTTACTTACCAGAATTATTTTTTTTAAATTAATTCCTCTGTTGTATCAGCACAGTAGAAAACGGGCCTAATACTTTTGTCATTTGTAAGTCAGCATATGATTTTATACAATTTATACAACAGCCTAAGAAATTAAAGCATACCTGCTGACAGTGTTCTATGCAAATGATTTGTAGGATTTTCCTATACCATTAAGGCCAAAAAAGGACCACTGTGACCATCTTATCCAGTTTCACCTACCACATACAGATGTGGCCTGAGTAGAGCAAGTCTTGACCTAAACAGTTCTAATGACAGAGAATCCACTGCATCTACCTCTCTTAACGTTCAAAAGGTTTTTCTTCTACTCAACCTGTGGGAGTGGAGAGAGCGCAGGAAATACATTTTCCACTCCAGAAATGCTTTGTGCTGTGTGATACAACAGAAGAACACATGATTGCAACAGATTCCCCACCTCCCTCCACCTTCCATCACCCTTGCCTCCAGCCTTGATCTGGGGAGTGTTAAATCCAAAAGTATTATAATGAGGTTTTGACACTAGTAAAATTTTCATAGCGAAGACAATATTCAGTTTTTAAGAAATTGCTCTTGCAATACAGAGGTGTAAAATTATGCTAGTCTCTTCTCATCTGGCTTTGAATCATCCCAGACGGTTGTGTGGTGGAGATGGCATTTTCCTTTTAAATCTGCAGGATTTTTCCATTAAGATCTATATAAGTTTTTCATTAGTTTGCTATAGCTAGAACCAAAGTGCACAGCTTTCTCCCTTCCAAAGGAGGAAATTAATACTTTCATTTAATAAAATTGCCAAAGGAGGTGCTGGGAAGTCCTCTTAAATATGATAAAATGCCATAATAACATATACATTTATAACTGATATTCCATTGTGAGAATTAACATTTGGAAAAAAAGATGATTTTAGAAATAAAATCCAGCAAGTGGAACTCTTCGACGAATCATCCTGAAAACCCTGACGCCGGGAAGTGCTCAAGGCAAGGACCCTGTGCTTCCACCATACCAATTTTGTAGGTAGCATGCAGTGAATATTAGTACCTCTCTCAGCTGTACCTGGGCATTTAGGAGTAGTATCACAATTAAAATCACCAGCACCATCACAAACCTTTCTAAAAGCCATGGGTTTCACAAAGGAGAAGCTAAAAAGCTCCGTGGGTATTCAGTTTACTCAGCAGAACAGCTAATAACTGATCCCACAGTCCTTATTCAGGAAAGAATCTTATTCCTAAAGGAAATTCAATAGAGCTCCATTAGCTCAAATGCTCTTCACCAAACAACCAGTAGCCTCAGAAGACTGGAGACAGATGAAAATGTTCCTTCCTAAACCTCACTGCCAAATGGAGACAGCTGAAAATTTTCAAATGGAATTTCTATGAGGGCTTAAAATCAAAGGTATTTTTGTCTGGGTAGGAAAGCAAAATCAGGTCTCTAACAAAGTAAAGAGGCATAGCAACTTTAACAGTATCACTACTATCTTTGTCAAAAAACTTCAATATTGTTCAAGCCATTGTGCTTCTGCTCTATGGGACTGCCAGAAACTGTTTTGC